TACCAAGTAACCAAAGGGAAACCTCTAGAGTATCAAAACCCCAGAAAACTCTGTAATGGGGGCTCTTGAGCCCTGATGCTCAGGCCCACTTCCCACACTGTGGAGTGTACCTTCGTTTTTAATAAATCTCTGCTTTTGCTTGTGCATTTTGTCCAATTATTTGTTCAAGATGCCAAGAACCGGCCGGGCGCGGTGGCTCAAGCCTGTAATCCCAGCACTTTGGGAGGCCGAGGCGGGTGGATCACGAGGTCAGGAGATCGAGACCATCCTGGCTAACATGGTGAAACCCTGTCTCTACTAAAAATACAAAAAACTAGCCGGGCGCGGTGGTGGGTGCCTGTAGTCCCAGCTACTCGGAGGCTGAGGCGGGAGAATGGCGTGAACCCGGGAGGCGGAGCTTGCAGTGAGCCGAGATCGCGCCACTGCACTCCAGCCTGGGTGACAGAGTGAGACTCCGTCTCAAAAAAAAAAAAAAAAAAAAAGATGCCAAGAACCTGGATACCTTCCATCAGTAACCTCTGCCTGTCACCCAGTTCCAAAGTCGCTTCTACATTTTCAGGTATCTTTACAGCAGCATCCCACTCCAGGTACCAATTCACTGTATTAGTCTGTTCTCGTGATGCTAATCAAGACATACCCGAGACGGGGTAATTTATAAAGGAAAGAGGCTACTGACTCATAGTTCCACATGGCTATTCACAATTCACAATCATGGCGGAAGGTAAAGGAGGAGCAAAGTCACATCTTACACGGCAGCAGGCAAAAAGTGCGTGTGCAGGGGAACTCCACCATCAGATCTCGTGAGACTTATGTACTACCACGAGAACAGCATGGGGAAAACTGCCCCTATGATTCGATTATCTCCACCTGGCCCTGCCCTTGACACTTGGGGTTTATTACAATTCCAAATGAGATTTGGATGGGGACACAGCCAAACCATATCACCAGGTAACCCCTTGTAATTGACTGAGGCTGCTCCCTACTCCAGGCCCCTCCCACTATCGATTTTGCTGTGGAGAACAAGGAGGAGCCTAGTAAGGGGACCGAATCTTCCCATAACATTGGGAAGCCCTGTAGTAGTCGAGGTAACCAGTCAGGAGGGGCTCCAACTTTGGGGGGAACTTCATTCTGGAAAACCAGCCCTGACCACCTACAAAGCCCTAAAGAGGCAAAGAATGGTGTAAGCCCAGCAGAAAGCCAGCCAGGCCCTGGGCATGGAGCCTTCGATCTGTCTTCTCTGGTGACATGCTTCCTCAAGCCACAAGGCTGAATGATACGTAAACGCCCATGTCCCCAAAGATCCAAGCACTTCCCATTCTACTGGCTCTTCTGGCATTCCTGTGAAGTAAGCAGAAGGCCGGGTTTGACCATCTCTTTTCCCCTTTCAGATGACAAAACTGATCGTTTCCTTCCTGCACTTTAGGTGTGCAGCAGGTGAAGCTTACTCAAGCTAGAGTGCAGTGGTGCCATCATAGCCCACTGAAGCCTCCAATTCCTGGCTCAAGCAATCCTCCTGCCCTGGCCTCCTGAGTAATTGGGACTGCAAGTGAGTGCCACCAAATCCAGCTGATTTTTAAAAAAATATATAAATGCGGTCTTGATTTGTTTTCCAGGCTGCTCTTGAATGCCTGGCCTCAAGCAATCCTCCTGTCTTGGCCTCCCAGAGTGCTGGGATTTCAGGTGTGAGCCACCATATCCAGCCCAGCTTTAGACTTTTAAAGAAATTGTAATAGTATTTTACACCACAGTGATTCCTTTTTTTAAAAAGAAATTTATGTCCCTAGCATGTAAAGTAAATATTACAGTGATTCCTAAAGAATTCTTCCCTTTTATCACTTCCAGTAGGGCTATGTGAAACCAAATCTACCTCTGCTTCCAAGAAAGATGCCGGGCTGGCCTTCTCTCAAAGTCTTTCCAAACTTTTCTTGGCATTGACTTAGACACCCTAGGAATCTGACTTGAGAACATTTTTTCATTAAAGAAAATCTCTCAGGAAGTAAAACCTCCTAAATTTTTTTTTTTTTTTTTTTTTTTTTTTTTTTTTTTTTTTTTTTTTTTTTTTTTTTTTTTTTCTGGAAGTAAAACCTCCTAAATGATTACTGAGTTGACATAAATCTTATGTATATATTCTTATCAGAAAAAAAGTATCTTCATTTTGTGGGACACCAATTTATTTATTATTATTATTATTATTTTTTTTTTTTTTTTGAGACAAAGTTTCACTCTTGTTGCCCAGGCTGGAGTGCAATGGCGTGATCTCAGCTTACTGCAACCTCCGCCTCCCGGGTTCAAGTGATTCTTGTGCCTCAGCCTCCCTAGTAGCTGGAACTACAGGCACGTGCCATCACACCCAGCTAATTTTTTGTTACTTTAGTAGAGATGGGGTTTCACCATGTTGGCCAGGCGGTCTCGAACTCCTGACCTCAGGTGATCTGCCCGCCTCAACCTCCCAAAGTGCTGGGATTACAGGCATGAGCCACCGTGCCCAGCCATGGGACACCAATTTATGTTTTAAGTGACTAAAATTATACAAGCTGGCCAGGAATGGTATCTCACACCTGTAATCTCAGTACTTTGAGAAGCCAAGGAAGGCAGATAGTATGAGTTTAGGAGTTCAAGACCAGCCTGGGCAACATGGCAAGACCCCATCTCTAGAAGATATTTTTCATATATATATATATATATATATATAAATAAAATATATATATTCAGAGGATATATCATATACAATATATATTCAGAGAATTATTTTATATATATATATGTGTGTGTGTGTATATATATATATATATTTTCAGATGATTCGCCAGACATGCATTACTGGGTAAAGGAGAAGATCAAGGTCAAGAACAGGGGTCCCCAAACCCCATGCCAAGGACCAGTACCTGTCTGCGGCCTGTTCGAAACTGGGCCATGCAGCAGGAGGTGAGTGGTGGGTGAGCATTACCGCCTGAGCTCTGACTCCTGTCAGATCAGCACCAACATTAGATTCTTATAGCTGTGAGAACCCTATTGCAAACTGCACATGTGAGGGATCCAGCTTGTATGAAAATCTAATGCCTGATGATCTGAAGTGGAACAGTGTCATCCTGAAACCATTCCCCTCATCTGTGGAGAAATTGTTTTCCACCTGTTCCTGGTGCCAAAATGGTTGGGGGACCACTGGTCAAGAAGTTGAGTGCAACCTCCTGGTGGTGTGTGCCAATCACATTATCGTCCTCTGCCAGGTGGGCAGCAGCATGTTGGAGGAGTTGGGGTGAATTCCATTCACGCTCGCTACAACAATAGGGTGCCTACCTCATTGTTTTAACACTGGTCACTAGAAAACAAGTCTGTTTCCTCAAACTAAGTGGCTGCTCTTTGGCTTTCATTTCCTGACATCTAGAGGAACCAGACTCTATTAGCATGTCATAAGCCATAAACTGGAGAATACTTTTTTGTATTGCAGAGCACTTTGTCATACTGGGAGTATAGATATAGCATATATATATGCACAGCCACCTGGCATGGGATGATGTGATTGGCACACATCACCAGGAGGTTGCACTCAAACTTCTTGACAATCTTTTTTTTTTACCTGGTAATGCATGTCTAATGAGTCCTCTGAATATAATTATAGCAGAGGATTAGTTGGATAGCTAATCAATTTCTATAGATGGCAATCTTCTTGGTGGTCTCTTTGCATTTAATCTGAACTGTCAAAGAAAAAAAATATCTAATTCTAGCAAGAGATTGTTAACTAAATGGAAGGCAGAGAAATTAAAAAGCTATCACTTTAAACTACTGGCAATTAAAGTGAGACACTCTCATTGTAAAATCTTTAGGCTGGGCGTGGTGGCTCATGCCTGTAATCCCAGCACTTTGGGAGGCCAAGTAGGGCAGATCACCTGAGGTCAGGATTTTGAGACCAGCCTAGCCAACATGGTGAAACCCCATCTCTACTAAAAAATACAAAAGTAAGCTGGGCATAGTGACAGGTGCCTGTAATCCCATCTACTTGGGAGGCTGAGGCACGAGAATCACTTGAACCCAGGAGGCAGAGGTTGCAGTGAGCTGAGATTGTACCACTACACTCCAGCCTGGGCAACAAAGTGAAATTCCATCTTAAAAAAGAAAAGAAAAGAAAAGAAAAGAGGGAGGGAGGGAAGGAGGGAGGAAGGGAGGGAGGGAGGAATGAACGAACTCACTGTTACCATCACTTGCTGGATACAAATATAAACTCCTCTCCACAGCACTAGTGGCCGTGGTGATTGGAAGCCTGCCTAAGTAACTGACCTCACCTCTGGCCGCTCCCTGCCCACCTCCTTGACAAACAGGAAAGACACGTTAATTTCTGGTACACACCAGGCTCTACACTCCCACTACAGACCAGGTGGAGAAAATGTCCCTGAGGGGGACACTGTGGAGCTGTCCAAGAGGCTTTGCCCCAGCCACCACAGCCAGAATCTTCAAAAAGATATGGTCCTCCAGGGGGACCAAAGGACACTCATCTGAATCTACAAAAGAACCCCCCACCTGGATCCCTTGCAAAGGCACCCAGCAGTGCACTAAGGCCAGCACATGCAGATATGAATACACCTGGAGTAAGTGGATTCTGAGCCTATTTAACCAGCACAGCTACTTAAGTGGACAGAGGGAGAGACTGCGGTCTTAGGGCTTGGAATGACTATGCTAGGCCTGGAACCCTGATCTTCTGACTAAGCCTGTGCCAATCCAATTCCGCTGCTCATCTCTGGCAGAAGGACCCAGCAGGAGGCAAGTGGAGACTGGGCTGAGGGAGAAGCACCCCTGAGTGACTCTGACCAGAAAGGATAAAGGTCCACAAAGACCCATGTAGGTCAACCACCTGGCTCCAACCTGTCATAAATCATCCTCCCTCACTCAGGAAATTCACGTACTCCTTGAAATTATGTGCAAAATTCTGAGTTGGTACATTTTTCAGAGAGGGTTTATTGCTTTCATGAAATCCTCAAGGAGATTGGCATCCCTAGTTCCCCCACCAAAAAAAAAAACAAAAAAAAACCCAAGACACAGACCCAGTGGCTAACATGTTTTCAAAAGGCCAAGGAGAAACCTTTCCTGTCATTTCAAGTGCCCTGTCAGTAGCCCTTTCCACCTGCTTCCACCTGTCCCTCTTCCCAAGGTCTAGACCTGCTTCTCACCTTTCTGCTCAGTAATCAGGTGCTGCACAATGACGTCAGTCATGCTATCCCTGTAGGCATAGCGGTCCTTGTAGAGCCCATGGACTGTGCTGAAAATAAGCTGGTAGAAGGAAATGGTGCCGTCCTGGCAGCCGACCACCTGCAGGGTGACAGAACTGTCAATTCCCAGCTCTCTGGAGACAGTCTGCACTCCCATTTGTCAGACACAAACCCCAGTGATATGTCTCTCGAGACATGGCGGCTGCTCAGTGCCTCTTCAAGCCATGGCCCCACAGAACAAACTTCCTCTTCTTACCACATAGTTGGAATCTGGTTTCACTTGACACGTCCACACCCAGGAGTTCTGCTCCCCAACAGTCCCAAGCTGCACTCCATCCTTGGTGAAAAGAGATACTTGTTTGTCTGAACCCCCCAGCAAAATGTACTCCCCTTTAGTAAAGTAGCTGATGCAGCAGGGGTCAAAGTTCAGTGCCCGATCCTTTCCAATCTGAGGAAAAAGAACACACACCAAGGGAAAAACCATTTCCAAATCCATAACCATTGCAATACAATTAAAGGCTTTTCTTGCCAACTTTAATGGAGGGAATTGGGAAGACGGAGAGCTGACCGGTCTTTTCTCCTGTGTCATCCCATGGTGAACACGGGCCTCCCTGCCTCTCCATCTCCCTACTCCCCAACCACACAGCCCAATCCTCAGCTCCTAGAGTCAGTGGCACCTCCCCTAGGCCCACCCAAGTGCTCCAGGAGTGCGGGAGCGTGTCAGGGCTCCTCAGCCAAGATGGAGACTGGATGGTTTGGTTCCCAAAGGCCCCCCTCCTCTGCACATATAGTTATTGCTGTGGCTCAATGGGTCCCCTCAGCTTCTTTTTCCCATCTCTTTTTAAAAAGTATTTTGCAGGCCGGGCGCGGTGGCTCTTGCCTGTAATCTCAGCACTTTGGGAGGCCGAGGCTGGCGGATCACGAGGTCAGGAGATTGAGACCATCCTGGTTAACACAGTGAAATCCCATCTCTACTAAAAAATACAAAAAAATTAGCCAGGCGAGGTGGTGGGCACCTGTAGTCCCAGCTGCTCAGGAGGCTGAGGCAGGAGAATGGTGTGAACCCGGGAGGCAGAGCTTGCAGTGAGCCGAGATTGCGCCACTGCACTCCAGCCTGGGTGACAGAACGAGACTCCATCTCAAAATAAATAAATAAATAAATAAATAAATGAACAAATAAACAAATAAATAAATAAATAAGTCTTTTACAAAGCTGATTTTATTCAGTTGAAAGATTGTCCTTTTTTCTGCAACTATGCCCATACTATTACTCTTTATAACAACTTTTTTGAGATGTAGTTCACATACTGTACAATTCACCCATTTAAAGTGTATGATTGCCAGGCGCAGTGGCTCACACCTATAATCCCAGCACTTTGGGAGGCCGAGGCAGGTGGATCACTGGAGGTTAGGAGTTCGAGACCAACCTGGCCAACATGGTGAAACCCTGTCTCTACTAAACATACAAAAATTAGCTGGGTGTGGTGGTGGGTACCTGTAATCCCAGCTACTTGGGAGGCTGAGGCAGGACAATCGCTTAAACCCAGGAGGCGGAGGTTGCAGTGAGCCGAGATCACACCATTGCACTGCAGCCTGGGTGACAAGAGTGAAACTCTGCCAAAAAAAAAAAAAATAGTATACATGTCTTTCAGTATAGTCACTGAATTGTGCAATTATCGTCACCATCTAATTCTAGAACTTTTCCATCACCCCAAAGTAAACCCCATTAGTAGTCTATCCCAATTCCTCCTTCTCTTCAGCCCTGGCAACGACTAACATACTTTCTGTCTCTAAGGATTTGCCTATTCTGGATAATTCATATAAATTGAGACATACAATATGTGGCCTTTTGTGTCTGGTTCATCCATGTTGTAGCATGTACTGGTACTTCCTTGTTTTTCATTGCTGAATAATATTCCATTGAATGACAGATGATATTTTATTTATCCATTCGTCAGTTGATGGACATTTGGTTTGTCTCTACATTTTGGCTATTATGAATAAGGCTGCTGTGATTATTCATGTACAAGTTTTTGTGTGGACATATGTTTTCATTTCTCTTGAGCATATACCTGAAAGTGGACTTGCTGGGCATATAGTAATTCTATGTTTAACATTTTGAGGAATTGCTATTCATTTCCAAAGTGACTGCACCATTTCATATTTGCACTAGCACTGTACGGAGATTCCCATTTCTCCGTCCTAGTGAGTGTAAAATGGTATCTCATTGCAGTTCCAGTTTGTATTTCCCTGATGGTTAATGATGTAGATCATCATTTCATGTGTTCATTGGCCAGAGAAATGTCTATTTGGATTCTTTATCCATTTTTCAATTGGGTTATTTGTCTTTATAGGTTTGTTGTTGTTGTTGAGACGGAGCCTTGCTCTGTCACCCAGGCTGGAGTGCAGTGGCATTATCACAGCTCACTGTAGTCTAGAACTCCTGGGTGCTCACATGATCGTCCCAGCTCAGCCTCTCGAGTAACTGGGACTACAGGCATGCGCCACCAGCCCTAGCTAATTATTTTATTTTTGTAGACACAGAGTCTTACTATGTTGCCTAGGCTGGTATTGAACTCCTGGGCTCAAGCAAATCTCCCGCCTCAGACTCCCAAAGTATTGGAATTACAGGTGTGAACCATAGTGCTCTGCCAATTTTCACAATAATCTTAAATGCAAAAGCTAAGCAAAACGAATTAAGAGTAACTTTAAAAACTAGGCAGTCTGGGAGGCAGTGGCTGCAGTGAGCCGTGAGATGGCGCCTTTGCATTCCAGCCTAGGTGACAGAGGGAGACCCTGTCTAAAAAAAACAAAAAACAAAACAAAACAAACAAACAAAAAACAACTAGGCAGTAGCTCGTGCCTGTAATCCTAGCTACTCAGGAGGCTGAGGCGAGAGGATCGTTTGAGCCCAGGAGTTCGAGACCAGTCTGGGCAACAAAGTGAGACCTCATCTCCAAAAAATGAACAAACAAAAACTAGGCCATTTAGCATAATAGTTAGGGCATGGAGTTTGGAGTCAAGTCTCCAAATTTCACCTTCCACATATGCAAAATGGAGACATAATAGGGGTACGTTATAGAATTGTGGTAGGCATAGTGAACTCCATCGCATGTTAGCTATCATAGTTTCGTTACTATTTACTGTCTAAATTCGGTGAGGAAATTATTAGGAAGTCTCTGTCTTGTTCTCTTCTGACCACTAAGAGGCGCACTTCGGAGTAGAAGAAACGCGGGCGGAAATAGCCCAAAAGCGGATTGGCTTCAACTTCTGGCGGAAGTAAGTTCCTCCCTCCACCGGGTCTTATTAGCTCATAAAGAATTCCAAATTTCTACGTAGACCCAAAGATAGGTAGAATACATTTTTCAGTCATATTCCTAGATATTACGATCTATTAAAACATGTATACTCAGAATTTTTTGCGGCATTATTTTTTGACGTGTCTTTATTTTATTTGAAAGAGCCGAACCGGAAGTGCTTGCCTTTTCCCTGCCAGGACCCAGGGGTTTACGTCCCATCAGCCCTTGCGTGCCACTGTCCCTTCTCTCTTCCTCGGCGCTGCCTACGGAGGTGGCAGCCATCTCCTCCTCGGTAAGTTTTAATCCGTGGCCATCTGCATTCCTGCGGGATTCATCTGGCCCCATTGCCCAGTGGTGCGGGGGCCTCCCCTTCGGCGCGGTAGTGGCTGTGGGTATTGTTATTGTCAGCTTACTGGGGCGTGTACAGGAGCAGAACGAAGCAGCCCGGGTTGATGGGGCTTTGCGTCCCAGAGCCTCCTGCTCTCCGCTTGTAGTCAGAGCTGCGGGCTGCTTGTTTGTTCCTTGGCGGTGGAGGGTGCTAGTTGAGCCCAGACTGCGGGGTCTCCTGTGGGCCGTGGGACGACCAGGGGTGTCTCAGCTTGACAGCCGTCAGCTGGGATCTGTGGATCCCAGCGCTCACCGATGTCGGCCCACGTGTATTCGTTCATTGCTATAGCCCGCTTCTTCGCTGCAGTCTCGGGCCCTAGGGCTGCTGCGGCTGCTGGTTCAGTTGCAGGCAGAAATTCTGGTAGTATCTCTGGAAATAAGATGCAACTGCCCCCACCTTGCCTTCGAGGATATCATGGGCCAGAAGGCAAAGTCGTTTTGAATACGTGGTTCACTGATTACCCACTCTGTGCCAGTTGATGGCTGCGAACAGAAGGGGTGCTGCTGTAGGAAATAAATGAATGGCTCTGAAGACCACACTGAGGAAGGTGTGAGTTGATACTGCAAGATCTCCAGGTTTGAGGCATCCTTAGACGGATATGATGGTTTTGTGTGTGCTGAGGGTGTGGTAGCGCAGCAGCTCCCTAGGGAATTAGAAGGTTTTCTTTATTAAACGTTTACCCTGTGACAGGCACTGCAGGCATTCAGCGTGCAGTGTCATCTCTATTCTACAGGTGAGGAAACTGAGACTCAGGTCCAAGTAGATGGTCAAGGCCATCTTGGGGTTCGGACACTGGCGAGGTGGGATTTGCTGCCCCTTGCAAATTGAGTGTCTTGGGGTCGGTTTTGATTTGCTCAGCTGTTGGCATTCTTTGGGCTCTGAGTGGTTGAGTTGACCTTTGACCTCCTGGGATCGCGTCTGGAGAGTGCCTAGTATTCTGCCAGCTTCGGAAAGGGAGGGAAAGCAAGCCTGGCAGAGGCACCCATTCCATTCCCAGCTTGCTCCGTAGCTGGCGATTGGAAGACACTCTGCGACAGTGTTCAATCCCTGGGTGGGAAAACCTCCTTCCAAGCCGCCTTCCAGGATTCTTCCTCACCTGGGGCTGCTTCTTTCCCAGAAGGCATCATGGCCGCCCTCAGACCCCTTGTGAAGCCCAAGATCGTCAAAAAAAGAACCAAGAAGTTCATCCGGCACCAGTCAGACCGATATGTCAAAATTAAGGTATGTGGTCCTGGGATGGAAATGGGTGTGGGGTGAAGAAAGAAGTTTCCAACAGGCTGTCGGTTTCTGACATCATCTAGTCGGGATTACCTTTGACCAATGAACTGGTTTGTGGAAGAGCTTTCTGTAGAAATACAGGTCTCCCCCAGTGTGCCCTAGTGCTGGTACTTAACATCTCTTGATGTGTTAAGTGAAATTTAAATGCGAAGGGACACTTGGCTGTTTCGATGTGTTTAGAGGGCTTTGCATTTGTCGTGTATTTTGGGTTGCCTTATGACAGCAGGATCCCTATTTTATAGACAAGAACACTCAGAGGTGCTGAGAGCCGTGTCTGCAGCTGTGCTCGCCATCTCAGTATCTACACAGTCCCCTCGCATCCCATTGGTGCCTCCTCCATTACTTGGGAGTAGGAATGGTGGGGGTGCCTGCATTCCTAGTGGCTAAAGCCACGAGCTCCTGGTTTTTCCCACCAAAAAAGTAAGGAAATAGTGAAGTCCTGTCACCAAAGGCAGCTACTGTGTGGCATACTTCCTTTTCATTTGGTTCTGTTTTCCCTCCCCAAAGGAAGAGTTGGCACTCTGCACAGACGCTAACCCACCTGTGTGTTATTTCCTTCAGCGTAACTGGCGGAAACCCAGAGGCATTGACAACAGGGTTCGTAGAAGATTCAAGGGCCAGATCTTGATGCCCAACATTGGTTATGGGAGCAACAAAAAAACAAAGCACATGCTGCCCAGTGGCTTCCGGAAGTTCCTGGTCCACAACGTCAAGGAGTTG